CAAAGCTGGCAAGTGATGTGCTATGAAAGACTCTTTAAATTGTAAAATATGCACAGTGAAATTTCCACTTTTAAATGTAAACTGTAGAAGAGTGAAACCATTTTACAGTCATTAATTTTCAATGTACCTTTCTTCTACTTTTGAAGTTCTTGAAGGTTTTGAGGGTCTAGAGAGGTATGGCATTTATCAGTTCCAAACTGAAGAGGTGATAGTCATGTTGATTTCTGAAAATTCAAAATGGCAATTCCAAATTGTTAAAAGCAGTGCATGATAAAGTTATCTATGATTACTCAGAAGAATACATAGTACCAGGTTCAGTGTCTTTAACATAAAAACACCATCCTTCAAAGACACGTGGCTACTGGTTCTAACAAGCACACATACCTCCATCCTATGCTTTTCTCACCAGGATGCAGATCTCAGTAGGGTTCAAGCCTGGATGTGTTTTCTGCTCAGCAATACATGCTATGCCCCCCAAAACAAATAATAATAAAAATCATATGCCCAATAAAAAAATAACATCATCAGACTGTAAGGATGGAGATCTGAAGAACTTTTATAGTCACTCCTGAAAAACAGTGGAGCTCAAAGTTCAGAAGCTGAAAAGGTGTAAGAATAAAGTCATGTTTTCCATTAAGAATCACTCATATCTTAATCACAGTGTAGTACATAACAGGCTGGAAAAAGTGTCAGTTCATTTTGTCAGGAAAATGGGCATTTATTTAATTCACCTCCATCATCTCTCAGGTAGCCAAGTCTCCCAGGTTTAAAGACCAAAACCAACACTAAAACCAAAAACTTAATCCATCTTCTGTTTACAAGTGAGATGTTTCTTACTAGTGGGTAAAAAAAGTCTCGTTGAGCTATACATTATGTTGGGTTTTTTTTTTAAATACCATTAGTCAATAGAAATATGAAACCATAAAACAATCATTTAAACATTTTACAACCCTGAGCTCAAGTCCCAAGAGTGAAAAAAGTTTGACATTATTAGTGTTCTTGAGTGCCTCACTGCAACTTGCATATTGTTTTATCATATTCTCAAAGGCACATTACCTACATACTCTGCAAGTAATAATCAAACCCCAAAGTGTCAACACAACACCAGACTAGCTTTGCATTAGTGGAAACAGCCCTGAACAACAGCATCTTCCTCTCTCTCTCTCTCTCTCTCTCAAAAAAAGGTACTCGACCCCACTGATGGTCACACCATTGGTCATTATTATGTGGAGAAAGAGGCAACAAATTAAATATATTATAAAAATATGAACCTTTTCTGCTCATAGGTAAATTTGGTCTGTCACTTACAGGGCTAAAACAGACAAGAACTGTCAAAGGGAAGCACTGTCTTCTAAACAGCATACTCTGGGCTCTGTCTCCTCCTCCTCTTTTCAATAAATTCAAAATAGCTATTACATGCTCAAGAGACAACAAGGCAAAGACCAAAACATCCAGACAGACTGCATTGTTGAGATAGGAGCTAATTTCCCAGTGATAAAAGCTTAAATTCAGGTTAAAGGACTCCGTAACTTAAGATTTGGTTGGGAATACAAAGTGGGTGACAGTTAAACTTGTGATGTGTGCAGCAATATAAATTAGGCCATCAAGTATCCGAGCTGTGCAAAGAGGAGAGTCAATAATTCAGGCAGGCATGACAATACAAAACAATCACCACACCTTTATCCAGAGAGATCAGTGTTAGTCTGAGATGATACACTGAACAAACAAGCTCACACAGCTAATGCCTTCAGTAAGGATAAGGCACTGTCCAGTGGACTACCAGTTTAAATTTCTCCAGAAAGGATGCTGTCCTGTAAACTGCTCGTCTTTGAATGCCGACCTCACAACTGTGTATTAATTCTGTTGAATTCCCCTCCTTAAAAATGCAATGTTAATAATTCAGTAAAAAAAATACCTTAGGCTGTATGTTTTAGAAGGCAAAAAAAAGAGATAATTTAGTCCCACTTTCTAGAAACATTCAAACCAAATCCAAAATTTGTCTTTGTTCTTCTTAAAGGAAGCATTTTAGCAACACAATCCAACCCCTTAACTTCCTAAATATAGTAAAGCTGACAGAAAACATTATGCTCAGTTTGTCAACACAAGCAGAAAGTAGTAAACACACTTGAATACATTCCTTGGTGTTGAGCAAACCCTGTAGAAGGTGTGCATGCCAATGCAAATTAAAGCAGAAGTGAGAAGCCACAGCAAATCTCAACCTTGAATTTCCTGCCTTTTGTAACGCCCATTTTCCTCTTCTTCCTGAAATATGTGCTTTGTAAGATATCTCATTGCAGCACTTTTAGACCAGTATGTCAGCTTTGGATATGTTTGTCCCAGATAATGAGGAGAATCTGTTGACATCATGTCACATTATGACAGACTGTTAAGTGGGTTAAATAGTTTAATCTTCTTCCAGAGAAAGGAAGTTCATAAGTCTCAGAAGGAAAAAAAAATACAATGTGTATCATTGCTATGAACTAAATAATAGAAAAAAATAAAACTGTCCCAGATTTTAGAATTCTGAATAGCAGCCTAATACTGTAAATTTATTGAGAAGAAAATCGTTTTGCAAAACTGGAATACAATTGATTTACCAAGAATTTTTTTAGCATTTAAAAATCATTTAATAACAGACCTGACCATAAAATAGTGGCACAACAGAAATGTAGGTTGCAAATGGAACGTGGAATGCATAGAACCTCCGGGGCGGACCAGCCACAGTAAATACAACAGTCACAATCATGAGTGTAAATTCATTTTCATAACTGTTTTTTTTTGTTTTTTCTTCTAGAAGGTAAGAGGGTGTATATAAATATTATAGAGAAAACATTTAAAAAACATTGTTTCATTTTTCAGAAATGCTGGAAGGGGTTTCAGCTCAGTTAAAAATGAGTAGGTTTGTTGGGCCAGAACTGCCCTTTTTCTGGTTCCTAAGGTTTCCTATGCTTGTTATGATGAAAAAAACCCCAACATTAATGATTAGGTGGTAAAAAATGGTGAAAACATAGCAACTAAGGAGCTAATTCTCAACAGACAGAGGACCTGGTGTTTTAAAACACAGTGCTTAACAGCATTAACCTTGAGGAAGTAATGCTAGGAAGAATTTCCACCATTTCTCCTATCTTGAAAAAAAAAAATAATTAATCCCATTAGCCACAAAACCCCAGTTCATTACCAAGCAGAACAGGAAGTTTGACATCTGCCTATGAGGATCTCTGGATGTATAATTTGGTGGGATTTAATTTAAAAAGCAGCACAGAAAAGTAGGAATTTTAAGGAAAAGAGGACTTACAGTACATTGCCTTGGGCCTCTGTCTTCACTGAAGGTGGCAACAAGTTCCTAGATTGCATAATGCTGCTATATTTAGTTTTAGTTGAAGAGAAATACAAACCTGAAAAAATAACAGCTACTCACTGGTTAAAACAGAAACATTTGGCATTCCAGCCCACCATCCCTGCACTAACTTGTCATTTCCCCCCTCCTTGCCTCCCAGGATTATGAAACAGTGACATGCCTACAATTCAAAGTTTCCTATGCTACAACTGTAAAACTTAAGATTTGCCAAAAGTATGACTACCACCCCTAGAAATCATCCCATAATTTTCTGCACATTACATGTATGGGATAGAGCTTCACATGGTACATACAGTGCTATCAGCATTTTCTTCACAATGCAACTGAAACACCATTGTTTCATTCAAACTTCTCTTCTCACTCTTAACAATCAACCAGCCAGAAACAACCACATTTATGATCTCACTTAATTCCCCTCTCCTAACAACTCCAGGAATTCCAAAAAGCAATCTGAAGAGCAGCATTTGATATGATCCCCAACTTCAAATCATACCATGAAAAACCATTTAAACAGGCTCTCTTACATAAAAAGAGGCTGGGTTGACTTGAGAGACTTGATTTCCTCTGTGCTGTCACATCTCTCCTTCTCTTGTGACTCTCTATTCCCAAACTAGAGGGTCCCTACGTATAAGGGGCTCCCTTTCTAACTCATATCTCACTCCAACTGAACTAAAGGAAATCTGTGGAGCAGGAATATGTTATCCCAACGTCCTTGTCCAAAAAACTTAAGAGAAACTGTGAAAAGGGAAATGTAAGGTTAAAAAAAAAAAAAAAAAAGTCTTACTAAAATAAATTACATAAAGTTCTGAAATCAACATCATTTTTGAGGCAACCTTTCCAGAGACCTCTTGGGTTCCTTTCTTCTCAGAAGCACCTTTTAAGTTGTATGGTTGTAAGAATAACTTTAACTATAGAAGCTATATGCATCTTTTAAGAATCACATTTTGATGATTATAAAAATTTATCTATTATACAACATAGGTCCAGCTACACTGAAAAAATTACACCGCTTATTGAAATACATTTCATTTTAGAAACAGACTACTAAATAGGTCTATACAAAAAACTCTAAAATAATTTCTGTAGTAAAATAAAGAGTGTGTTAGGAGAGCTACACAAACAAGAAATTTTTTTGTCTTTCTTTATAATGCTCAAATATACTGTGATACGTGGCTGGCTCACTCCATAGCCGGCACCAAAAGCTGAAAAAGAATCCATTGCGATACACAGTGATACAATTAATGCTCTGTTATTAATCTCACAGCCTTTCCGATTAGTACAAAGAAAACCAGGCCTATCTCCTCTTTGAGGAGAAGTCCAGGATATAAAAGCAAGCATACCTCATCAGCTGATATGAAATTATAAAATTCCACAAGTCTCAGTATCTGAAATTTATAAAAGTCACCAGTAAAACGCAAGCAAATTGAGTTTAAGTCCTGTTGGTTCCCAGGTTCAAACGAGCACTGCCGATCCAAAACAGGATTTCCTTGTTTGTTAAAGTGATTCAAGGGAAAAAAAATCAGGACCATCTGCTGGGGCTAAGAAAAAGACAAAGATCCTCACCAACTAACCGTCTGTACTTCCACGAGGGCATGTTTCCATGTGCATAAACTGGGCAAATAGCTGGCAGGAAGCAAAGATGTTAGTGGTGCTGTGCGGAACTGTTCTTTTCTGCCAGGTGTCGCAGAAAGTTGTCCTCACTCTGGCCTCTGTGATTTAAAGGCTCACTCTTAAAAAGAGCTGGAGGAGGGGGTAAATGAGGAACTGGGGGAACTGGGAGATGATGTGGATGGTGAGGATGAGGATGTAGGTGAAGGTGTGAATAAGGGTGAGGAATGGGGCGGGGAGGAAGTGTGCTCACTGGGTTCAGGTTGATAGGTGGAGTTGGGGTGGTGGGTGTGTTCACTACAGCAGGGACTGTGGTGGCAGGAGAAGTGGCCGACAGTGGGATCTGGACAGCAGTTGACACATTGACAGGGCTGGTAACACGGAAGCACTTCTCCTTGTGTGCCTTGAGCATGTTGGAGAAGCGAAATCGCTGGCCACACACGTCACATGGGTAGGGCTTCTCCCCTGTGTGAGTTCTGCGATGTCTCTTCATGTTTGGGCGGCTGGTGAAGCTTTTCCCACAGATTTCACAGATAAAGGGCTTCTCTCCTGCCAAGCACAGATACAGCAATCAGTCAGGCACAGAACATCTGCTAATACTTACTTCAGCAGACTTATGCAAACAAATTGCATCCTACAAAAGCTACTGTGACTGCTACCCTTGGCAAATAAAGAGACAGCTGTTCCACACAAGTCCTCACTCAGTCTTTATGAAATCCTCTCTCACCTCTGGATTTAGATGCAGGAGACAAACTTTTATAAGGCTTTAGGGCAAGGGGTTTTTTTCAGACCAAAATAAAAAGGAAGTACACCTAACCTCTCATTTTTCCCCACAGTGAATCACAGGACTACAGTTAGATTAAACAGTAAGGTAATGTATTAACCTCTGCTGTCTGATTTTCTAGGTTGGATAACAGTTTTGATCCCAAATTCCAAGGAAGGGAATACAACTAGACGTGTATGAAAGTTTTTGCCCTGGAAGTACTTGTGCTTTTCTTTGCTAAGTTCTTACCAGTGTGTGTTTTCATGTGCTCATCAAAGTACTGTTTCATGTTGAAGTCTTTGCCACACCACTGGCACATGAACTGTTTGTGCCCGATGTGGATGCTCATGTGGGAACGCAGCTGGTACTTGTACTGAAACCTCTCATCACAGTTCTGCAACAGAAAAAAACAGCAACCCATGATACTCAGGCATCAGGGAGCAAGGCAGTCATGGGACAGCACTCAAATGTACTATGTGAAGGAATAAAGAATGGCTGAGCTAGTACACACACACAATTGCAGAATTTAAATTATTTATCAAAAGTAGAACTTGGTCTGCACTAAAACACATGCGGGCACAGGAGCCTTGGCAAAGAGTGTGGAACAGTCACAGCCTTTAGTTGATAGCTGTTGGCAGAAGCCCAGCAGAGGAACGGTTATGCCAACACAAAAGTGCTTCTGCTGGCTCAAGGTGTCATTTGGAGGTTTTGCAGCTTTGCCAGCGATCTCTGCTGGACTATGGCACGTCTCCACTAGAGGACTCTGCTCACCCAGCAAAACCAAGAGCAGCTCTACAGCAGTGTTTTTCAGCAAGGCAGTCTGTTTTCCAGCTATTATTTATTGGTATGAAGTAACTTCT